AACCACACCCTGGCATAGATAAAGGATGCAGTTTTCTTAACAAAACTGCTTTTCCATGTCACTAATGCATGATAAACTTGAGTACTTACCGCCAACACACTGTATTTAGTATCTACTAAAACTCTTCCGTTTGATAAACAAATATGACTTCAAAAGGTATTCCCCGATAGCTATTCATTACAAATAGTCGGTCTTTCCATGTAAAATCACGGGGCATGTGTTCAACACGTGTATGAAGTGCAATGGAAACTGCTTCATGTTAAAAGATGGTTGGGTAGTCAAACTCCTTCATAGAACTTGGGGCCTTTTCTGGTGCTTTGGGAAAAGTGGATCGGCAGTTAGGGGTCTGGCCCACACCTGTGCTTCACACCAAAGGTCAAAGCCACCAGAAGCTCTGTTTGCTAAATTCAACAGCACAAAATAATGGGCTGGGGACACAAGGTCCAATCTAAAGGATACGGTGTCTCATCACCAACCCGCTTCATGGTTCACACAAACATGTGGCCAATGAGAGAAGCCTGTGTTGCTTTAATTGAGGTAATAGAAGCATATTTTCTACTACAAACTTTGGGCAAATTCAAATATTGCTTCATTTGAATTTGTCAGACCAGATGCCAAAGGAAAAGAGTTATTTCTGTGAGTGAAGAACAGCCTGAGCGCTCTTGATGACTACTTCAGAGACTTGTGTATCAAGGTCACGTTCTAGTGCTGTGAATTATTGTAGATCAACTAATTTGCTAGTTGCAAAGTGACTTAAGAGATTTTAGGTGCCTGGACCTCAGAGTCTTCTCAGGTACCACCAAGCCTTTACCTTGTTCTACGAGGTCCCTGAGGTCCATCTGGCCACTTGCTCCTTATTCTCATTGAGGCTAACCCCTCGGGGAGATTTGTGGATTGGTGGCTTCTTTCCTGGGCTTTTCAATGGGTGGGTTGGTTGCTCTAGTGTCTATGTTTTAGCTGTCAATGTCCTTTCTGCCAGCTTCTTAGCTTCTAGGATCCCTTAACTGGGAGAAGTGGCAGACCTGTAGCAGGTCAGTACTATCATGGCCATTGGGTCCTCATGCAGGTAGGTCTTCATGGTTAAAGCAGAAAGACTAAGTCCAGAGAATGCCTTCAAATTAAAGTTATGTCTACGTTATCCAGAGAAAATTCCACACCTGCCTGACTCAGGGTTTCCCTTCTGTGCTTGAAAGATTTCCAAGTCAAAAGAGAAAGTGGGCTTTGGTGACATCTGCTCCCCTTCAGAGGGAGGTGGAAACAGCTGCCATCCAGTCTTTTAGCTCCAGGCTGGATCTCAGGACAAGAGAGAGCAGACAGCCTTCAAAACATCCTCCAGAGAGGACAAGCATCACCTAGTATGGCCACAGACATGGGCCAGAGAGGTTGGCATGAGGGCTGTTTGCTCTGACTCAGAAGCTGGTCAAGAGACTGCTTTTTATTAGCCTACTCCAGTTCTGATGGCCCAGGTATGTCCTTCCTAACCCCAAAGGGAATCTAGAGGTTCCTGTCACTTTTAAGTGCTTGCTAAGGACACAGGAAAGGAGAGACTGAAGGAAGGATATCAATGCAGCCAGCTTCTTGTCATCATCCCACGCATGGATCAGACCAGCTGTGTTAAGACTACCAAATCTCCAAGCCACGCTGGGCAGTTGGCTGTTAGGGGCACCACAGGCAGCAACAACTTGGATTTCTTCTGCTACTCCAGTTTTTATTGCTGCCAAAGCTGATTCACCATCCTTCCCTCCCCTGACAGCAGCTCAGCCACAAGGCAGAGTGGGGATGGTCACATATCCAGCAGCTTCCTGGCTTTCCAGAGATGTATTTGGAGCAAGAAGCCCTGGTGTGGGTTGGTTTTGCTAGCCAACGTTTCCTAAGGGGCTCAAATGACTTCTGAGAAGAGCATGGAGGGGAGAGAGAGGGAGAGGAGGGGAGGGGAGGGGAGAGGGGAGAAGAGCTGAACATACAAACGCTGCTTGACTTACAGGCTGAGCCCTGCAGAAGCAGACAAATGCTGGTGACACCTGCATGGTCTGTCCCCAGGAAAGCTTGTCACTAAGCAGGGAGAGCTATATTGATGAGTTCTAGAGATCTGTGGGGTTTTGATTGTTTTTAGTGCATCCGCTTAGTGTGAAAGGTTCAGCAACATGAAAAACCTTGACTGTAACTTACCAGGAAAGTGGGCTAGAGACAGTCTCCAAGATTTACTATCGTTTCTACATTGTATGACTTCCTTGCTTTCTTTCTCTATTAATCAGTAGTCTTAATGAGGCTTTAAAAATAAAAGGAGAGCTGCAATAACACTGCCCCTCCCCATCTTCCCCTGCACGCAGCTATTATGTTTTGGCATCTTTGGGTTGGGGCAGTGTGTCTTTATTGTGTGCTCTAAATATCAACAAGAGAGGGGTTTTGCTTCTCGGACAATTATAAAAATTACACTCACAGAATCTTTTGGTAGAAACTGAGCTACACGGTGATTTATAAAGCATCCTCAGATTTTCCTTATGATCAAGCCAAAGATGCTAATTTGGGGGACGTTTACTTGATTTTCTTGTACCATCTAGAGCCGTACATTCATAATTGACGAACTTCTTACGATAATGAAGACAGGACGGCGTAATTCACGCGAGCCTGCTGCCTTAGTCTTTTTGAAGTGTGAAATTCATGTGGCAGTCAAGAAGCTGTACCATCCTAGGGCAACTCTAGATTGTTCCAGAAAGATGTGCCCTAAGGTCTTTAAATCATTAACACTCATAGAGCCGGGTAGGATTCTCTGATCGCCAAGCCTTTACAAAGCCCAGCTTGCATTCAGTGGCTTATCGTCTTTGGGAACTCATACTGTGAGTATGGACTCTCTAATCTGAATTCACAGTCTCTGCGAGTTCCATACTAAACTTTGGAAAAACATGAGAAAGGTTCAGGCTTTTTTTCTCTATTGCTAGATTTGTTCTTTTGAACGTTAGTAGTACAAATGTCTTTGATTCGGGCGAGGACAAATTAAGTACTGATTGGTGGCTTCCTTTGCTCTCCTGTTCCTTCGCAGTGGAAGGTGGGAGCCAAGGGCTCGCCTGCAGTCTGTTCCCTCAGCTGCGGGAGCCTGGTCCGCAACAGCTCTGGGCAGGCCTGGGGACTCTTAACTGAAGCGGTGGCTCCAGGCTGGTCCCAGGGAACGCCTGGGCGCTCCTCTTCAAAGAGCCACATGCACTGGTCCTCTCCAAGGCACAGGACTCATGCCTCCCTCGGACAGAAAGGTGTCTGGAGGTGGCAGGAGGCAGGGAGCCAGGAAGCGGCTCAGTAAAGTCCTGGGTTTGGTGTTTCAAAACTCGAACAACAGGAGCTTCGTGCAGTTAAAAAGGCTCCTAGAGTGGGCTTTCTGTTGCCAGGGGGTGAGAATGAGGGCGGGGCAGGGCCTGGAGCTGGCGATCTCCCCCCCCCCCCCATCCCTCTCCCTGTTGAATTTTGGCGGAAACTTACAAAGTGGCGGTGTTGTGGAGGGCGGTAAAGTTTAACACTCCCACTGCAAACCAAGTTGTGGCAGGGGCAGTGTTGGGCTGCTAATCTAAGGGAAGAAAGGAGAAAAAGAAGGGTGGTGCTGGCGGTGGAAGCATTAGAGGTCTGCCACATTCGGGTACTCCTTGGAGGTCCAGGTACTTGAACCCGGGGGCGTACACTTGTTCAGAGTGTACAGAGCAGAGCTGAGGCTTGTGAGGAAGCCTGAGTATTCTGGGCAGCCTTCCCCCCGCTGGAGTCCGAAGGTCATTTGCGCTTTTAGGTCTCCGACAAGAGGACACTTCTGGAAGGAAAGAAGGCAGGTCATTTTCGAAAGGCTCTGTGTAGGACTGGCCGCCTACCGGGGGTGACAATCCTTAATTACACCCTTCTGTCTAGGAATCCATCTTCCCAGGCAGTGTCTTGCACTCCCACCTCCTCGGGTGACTCAGCTGACCCGAAATGCCCACCCTATGGAAGATCAAGAAAAGTAGTTTTCTAAAAAGGTTAGAGGTTTGATTACACGGAGAAGTGTTTCCACTTAAGTCCAAGGCAATTACCCGCCCCTTCCTCCAGGTCTTCCTCCCAGTCACCGGGAGAAGAAAAGGACAGACTCCCACGCACATACCCCGCACTTTGTTGGTGCGTGTGAATTTCAAATGGCGCTGTAAGTTCATTAGTGTTTGCAATCAGCGGCCGGCAGACCCCTCATCAGAGCCGAAAGCCGGCAAGAGCCATTCATCAGCATGAAGTGTTATTCATGGATGACCCCTAAATCACGGCGAGAGTAGTAGATACACTGATTGGTCACAGCATGGGAGCCTCGGTGCTTTCCTCGAACACAGCGTGGCTGGGAGGAGGGATGGAGGGAGGGGCGGCGGCGTGGACGTGGTTTAGTCCGGCAAATCCCATTTGACAGCGAAAAAAGCAGAAAACCGGGAATCTCATTTTTTGAATAAAGGAGAAGAAGAAATAAAGTACCTGTCATCTTGACAAGTGGCGTAGCGGAGGAGTCAAGGATTATAAATGATCACAGCCAGGTCCAGCTCGCCCTGTGATTGGGCTCTCCCGCGATCCGCACCAGGGAAGCGCATGGTAGGCTCCGCTCCTCTCTCTTACACACACACACACACACACACACACACACACACACACACACACACACACACACGTGTACGCGCCTGGTCTCGAGCACACTAGCCCAGAACGTCCCCCGCCCTTGCTCACAATTACGGTCCTGGATGCTGCTCCCTGGCACAGCGCCCTGCCTGTCTGCTCACCTTTCCCTTCTGTCCCTCCTTCCTCTCCTCCTCCATCCTTCCACTCCCCGGGCCGAGAAGCGAGGACTCGGCCCGGTGGAGGAGGCTGGAGGGGCCCGGCGGGAAGCGCAAGGGGGAGCGCGCGGGGGAGAAAAAGAAAGTGAACTCATTGGCGCCCGCGCGCTTCCCTCCCCTCGCCGTGTCCCTGGGCCGCCCGGCCGTGGGCAGCGGAGGAAGTTGTAACACTTGCATCTCCCCCTTTCTCCCCTCTCCTCCATGGGCCCCCTCCCCCGCGCCCGGCGCCTTTGAATTTGGCCGGGCGAGCGCAGGGGCGGACGCGGCGGCGGTGGTCTGGGAGCGAGCGGGCGGCGCGGGCGAGCGGAGCGCGGTAAGTGCGGCGCCGTGCGCCCTCTTTCCTTTCTGGGGTCCTAGCGCCCGGGCCTCGGGCGAACGGGCGGGGAGAGAGCGGGGACGCGCGTTTCCCTTCTCGAACCGCTGCTCCGAGCAGCCGCTGCGAGTTGGCCAGCCCTGCAGGCGGCAGAGCATCCCAGCTCACAGACTCTCGGCGCTCAGGCGTCCGGTTCCGGCCTCGGGTCCCCGCCCCTCCCTCGCGTCTGCCACCCCAGTACGCGGGCTCAGGTGGGAACTTTGGCGGTGCCTCCCACCTGGCAGCTGGGCAGGGTTTCGGGAACTCTGGACTCCCCGGGTTTCCCCAGCAAGGCAGTTCCCCGGGAGCCTGTGGGGACAGAGAGTATAGACGACCTCGCTGTCTCTTGGGATGCTACCCGGTTTGGAAACACAATCTCTGGTTCTCTGGGAAGGTGTCTGGAGGGTTCCAGTGGGACTTCCCAAGAGCTGGAAGCCTTGGGAAGTCAGCATTTGCCTGGGAAGTGAAGAAGAGGCTTCCCCAACTGCCAGATGGCCAAGTTGCCGAGGAGTCAAAGAACTAGGGGCTGAAGGTGCTTGTTGGGAGAGGTGATCTCGGCTGAAACTTGATCTGGAAACTGTGGGTGGGACTGGAAGTAAACAAAACGTACCCTGACCAGGGCATTAAAAAAAAAGAAAATTACCGATGGACGAGCCTGCTACTAACTCCAAGTCACTGTCGTGTTTTACAACTGATGAAAGGGGGTTTCAGATGTTTCAGGTTGGGGTGAACGATGTGTGATCTTTACTGAGCCTTTTACCACATGCAATCCAAATTCCCTTCGTGCTGCCTCTCCTGTAGGACAGTTGTAGAGGTTAACTTGTTCATTATTATCATGGAGAAACAGTGGCAAGTAATTCCATTGGGTCATAATACAGCGAGTCTGTTTGTTTTCTGAAGCCCTTACGATTCTAAGCGAGAGAAAAGTTCTCAGGACTTTGGAGTAGATGGAATGGAAGTGAGATCCTGAGAACTACCCAGGCGCTCTTTTCCAGGGCCCCAGGCAGCTGAGCTACCAGAGGCCAGGACTCTCCCACAATAATACTGTGACTTCTTATCTTCTGGCCATGTTATTTGTCAAACTTCTGTCGGCTGGCAGAAGCCAATGGGTGGTCTTTCACTAGAAAAAGCAATGTGTGCAGGCATTACCTTGCTCCTCCGTGGTCAGGTGAGAGAGAGAGAGAGAGAGAGAGAGAGAGAGAGAGAGAGAGAGAGAGAGAGAGAGAGAGAACTGGCGCCTATAGAAATCTTGAAAAAGGACCCCTTAAAGTAGCATTACAGCTTAACCGAACAGATTTGATTTCCCCTATATTTAAAATACAATGCATAACCCCAGACCTGCTTGAGAAAAATATCTGTGGTCTTTCTAGAATTAGGAACAGAGTTTAGAATTAGGAATAGCGGTATAATTATAATTTATTATAAATTGTAATGTTAAAACCTATTTTGTGCATAGCTCAGTAGTCTTACCTTGTGTGTTCCAGTGGACACTTTTCGGACCCCAAACTTCAGGTTTGCATTTTTTAGTACGTGAAGTTCTTGTAGGAGCCTTGAAAGTTTCGATTTTTGATTCTAAATTCACAGCAAATATTTAATTCTTTATGTAAGAGTAAGAGGTTAGGTTCGGTAATAAGACTTGCTAATCCCACTTTAAAATGTCATGGCATTCACAAATTATTCCTAAATTCTTCAAAGCTAGGGGGTTTATAATGACATTAGTTATTCTAGTGTATACTTCAGTACTGTGTGCTTCTCTCTTCTCTTGTATTTTCCTTAACACTCTTACCTTTTCAAATGAGGATTTTTAATATTTTTCCTTTAAGCAGTACTGCTTTAGTTGCAGGAAATGCTTTATATTAAATGCCTTAAAATAACATATAATACTGTTCAAACAGTAATTCTTTTGAATGAGGCAGTGATTATAGCTTACATATACTGAACAGGTTAGGAAAATGTAGTTTGGCAGAAGCTCTGCCAGTATTCATAGACTTGGGAAGTGATGAGAATCCCATGTCAATCATATTAAAATTAGCAATCCATAGTCAAGAATATTGATTCTAGTGAGCATTACTTCACTATTTTTTTAAAGAGTAGATTTGTGGATAGTTATTTTTCTAAAATGGGAGTGTTTTGTGCAGCTGTATTTTCTGGAAATGAATGAAAGAGGTGATGTATGGAGGCTTTTCTTCCTCTGTCTTGTAGGAGTCTTTTGGCTTGAGAAAGGAACCTGCTGTATTGGGGTGAAGACAAAGGAGGATAAGGATGCTTACCTTTGAATAGAAACAAAGCCTCCAAATGAAGCAAAACTTTTACATTTCTTTGAAAGGGAGGCCGATAGACAGTCGTGATCCAGTGAGCTAGCTGCAGCTAATCTTCCTTTGAGCCTTGCTTCTGAGGACTAAAGAGTCATGCCTGTCTTTGTAAAGAGTCAAGCAAATCAGAGACCAGGGAAAACTGAGTGGCTATCAGTGTGAGCGGAGGAGCTGAATCAGTAGTGGGCTGTAGGTACGAAATGGTGCTTCTACAACAGCTGCTAGGGTGCATTAGGGAATCCTGCGGTTCATCTTACCTATAATGAAGAGAGTGGATATAAATCCAGACTGGGATCATATCCTGTATAAAAGTGCCACCCAGCCAACTTCCTGGGCTTATAAATAGTGGTTGTTTTAATCTAGGAGCACTGCTTCATTTCAGTCCTTAGCTTTTGGTGTGCTGGGTGGTAGCAGAATGTCATGGAGGAACTATTTGGGTGTGGAGCAGGGCGAATTATCTGCCCCTTTGTTGAAGCTGGGCTGTGAAGACCTGTTAGGCACCCTGCCTTCCATGTAGCTCCCCTGCTCAGTGTATCTTCTGACAGTTGGATGTCCGTTTCAGCTCCGAGAACACACTTTTCTCTACATAAGTTGAAAATGTAATGACTTGCAGCTCTCCTTTTACTATGATCTGCCATTGGTTATAGCTCCTTTGGGTGTTCAGTTGAAGTCTGTGTTCCTATTTGCCTTACGAAGTGGGCTGTGGCAGTCCGGAGACGAATTTAACTCACACATGCAGAAGGAAGCGTGGCCCTGCAGAGGTAGTCCAATAACACAGCGTTATTTCAAAGTCTCATCAACCAAGTTTGAAAAATTATTTCTTGGAAGCCTCTTTTAGATCACATTTGAAACCTAATTTTAGAGATACCAGCTGTTTTAAGAGTCCTAATGGAAATTCTATGCCTCAAAAAAAGAGGTAGAAAAAAAAGTCTTAGTCTGAAAACTGATTAATTGTTGTGTCTTATAAAACCTGATTTATTTTATACTTTTTTTTTATACCAAGCATTACCGTTATGAAGCATTCCTTCTAATTGAGATTAATGTTTTGGAGCAAAGAAGTGGTTTGGAGGGGGGCATTCATTTTGACTGCTGTTGTAATCAATTTGAGATACAGTATTCCACAATGGATCAGTTTGCATCCAAACCTGCCTTATTATGTGGAATTAACTTGTTGGTGATGGATAGTAATACTTCTCCGTCTTGAAAAGTCATTTGTTTCCAAACAAGTGTGATGGTTTGTGAAAGTTTCAGCGTAGCACTTCTCGTAATGAAAAATCTTGGTTCTGGGGACCTAATTTCAGCTTTAAAAAAAAAAAGTAAAAATAAAAAGGGAAGTATATAAAGGATAAGGAAATAATCCATTAATTCATTTTCAGTGAAAGTCTCCCCTTTCCTTCCAAATACAGTATGCATCCGAGCATACGCTCTTGTACATCAAAAGGGAGGATGGCACTTTTGAACCATGAGTGATAATCATTACCCCTTTGGCTTATTTCTTCCCTTTTTTTATTTACATCAACACTCCTGTTGGGTATTTCAGAGCGTTCTTAGAATTAGAAATGTGCGTGTGTTATGATTTATTTCCTAAGTTGAGAGATTCTCTCCTGTTGTACACAATGAATTGGGCCACCCCACTGTGGTGTTCACATTTGTTTCTCATCTACATCCGATTGTCTTCAGTTTTGTCAGGGTCTCTGGAAACATAACCAAAGGTTTTTCCTACACTTTGGTCTGTACGACAGTATGGTTTGTAATACCTGCTTGAAGGGAAACGAAGCATTGGAAGTTTAGAAGATTAATCTAGAAAAGTGTTCTGCTATACCCGTGAAATAAAAGAACTCAAAAGAAAGATACAGCTGGGTGTTACGTTCATGGTGCTCTCGTAGTGACATTGCTCTTTAGGTTCCCAGAGGAGCTATGCCTCTTGCTTTATTTAAAGCTTCTGGATAGCGGTAGATTGTTGGCATCAGACCGGTGTTTTTCTAGTTTAAAACACTCATTTGAAAGTTTAAGCTGTTAAAATAAAGCACTTGAAATACCATTTTGAAAGCGTTATGATCACAGTCACCCATTTTGATATAAACTATGAAAATGCAGAAGCACGTTCAAATATGAATAGGTGTTTCACACACCTGAACTAGGCTAGGATCCATTCATTTGGAGACATTTTGATAACTTTTTTTTATAGTTTGATTGAATAAGTGAGGTGATTGTATAGTCAGATCAAGCTACAAAGACTTTGGTCATGATCTACTTGAGCCTGTGCCTTTAGTCACTTATAAATTAATGCCAGTACCAAGCAACATACTCATAAAACTGATGAAGAGATAGCAGAAAGTAGTGAGGTGATGGTGGTGACAATGGTGCCCCTTGACAGTCTCTGGACCTCCCAGATATGATGGCTGACAACAGGACTGTGGTAGGTGGCAGTCTTAACTGACTTCCATAACTTTGTTCTGATAATAGGGACCATACGTCTCAAAATATATTAAGCTACATGTAGCGCATCAGCAAATTCTCTTTCTGCAAATTCGAAAGTTGACCACATCCCCTAGAGATGATTTTTTCCTTTTTCCTTTTTTTTTTTTTTTTTGCATTTTCTTTCCATTTGTAGCAGTCTTCTAGCTGGTACAGAAGCATGGCAGATGC